AAAATAGAATAGAATTATTAAGTAGTTGAAAAGTATATTTTATATAAAAGTATTATTAATAAACTTTTTAATTAATATATTCCTAATTTATTTATAATAATTGTATTCTCAAATAATAACTTTAAGTTTGTTAATTTCTATAAGCTTATTAATAAGATTTTTAGTAGTAGTATATTCTTTAATATAGAAGCTAATAATTTGTTAAAGGAAATCGAATATTTTTCTTTTCAAATTATAAAAAAGTATTTTATTATTAATAATTTCTGTTTATATAATAAATAACTAAAACTTTTAGTATTATAATATAAGATTATTTTATTAAATATTATTAAATATAATCTAATATTTATACTTAATTTGTATATAATTAATTTCGATAGGGTTCTTATAAATTACTGTAAGCTTATTGATTAATTGAAATCTCGTTAAGGAAAGGATTTAAATGTATAAGGAATATAAATGTTATTATACTTTCTCTTTTATTTAATTTATTATATAAAATTAATATTATAATTCTAAGGTAAGTAATATTACATATAATTCTAATTATTTAATAATTAATAGCTATTAAAAGCTTGCTTTTGATTTTATATTATTTTTAAATTTTAATAAAAAATTAATAGGCTTTAGAATATATAGTCTTTCTGTAAGAATGATATTAAAATGTAAATAGGATATAAACTAGAGTAGTAAATTATAATTAAATATAATTGTTAATAAATAGGTATTACTTTTTAAATAAAAACGAAATTATTCTAAAATATAATTCTAAAAACAATTTTTCTTTTTTCTAAATATAAGAACATTTTACTTAATAGATTTCATAAAAATATCAAAAGTTCGGATTTTGTGTTCCACAAAAGGAACTATATAAAATTATTATAAAAATATGTAAAATAAACTAGTAGTATTTTGAATATTATTAACCTATATTTATAATTAAGTAATCTATTCTTATAAAAATTAAAATACTTATACTTATTCTATAAGCAAGTGTATTTACATTTTAATTATATTATTATTATATTAAGATTAATAAACAATTCCCCTTTCCTTATCCTGTTACAGGAGCTGCCTCTAGAGTCACGTGAAAGTGTCTAGAGTTCTCTCGAAATGGTTTAGACTAGACTTCAAGTAGGAATTCAATAAGGTTGGTAATTGGTTGCAATTCTTGTAATTATAGTAATGAAACTAATGATTGTTCTTGAGCACGAAGCTCTACATTATAATGAAACTCATTTCTTTATATAGACCTTCCTGCTCTACGGAGCCCATGGTTCTGTCCTACTTGGATCCCTTAGATCCTAAGCTCCAAAGGTTCCAACGTCCTGTCACATGACACTCGTCACGTGATCCAATGTTACCCGTCGTAACAAAAGTCTAAAGCAATGTTGTTATTACTTTCATAAGATTATTCTTACTCTTAACAAGTAGATTAACTAATTAAAGATTAATATACTCCTAATATCAATACAAATGAATTAATATTGAGGTTAATACATATAGATATAATAATAGTACTTAAAACTTAAATATTTGAAAAAACATATCTTTATTGAAGGTTATTCGGAATAGATCTTCTTCTTATAAGTAATATTGAATTAATACAATTCACTCAAAAAGATATTAAATTATAAAATATTGTTTAATTAATTATTAAATAGTTATATAATTATATAATAAGTTATAAATAATATAACACTTTGTTATAAAAGAATTACAAGAGTAGGATACAATTTATCCTTAAAATCTATAACTATAGAATAAAGAGTAAAGTACTTATAAAGCGTATCTATATATTAGCTATATACATATAATCATATACATATACGCATGCGTATATAAGCGTGTTACGGAGGTACCCGCACCGCAACATGGATTATAAGGTAAAGACGAGCCTTGGTATTATGACCTACGAAAACAGCACCATGGGAACCATGAGATTAAAAGGTAATTAGAAACAAGAATAACCGAGCAAGTAATTAATGATTAGGAAAAGATAGGCACCTATATTTGTTAATATCTACTTTACAATAAGCATAAGATAAATAGTAATCACAAATTAATTAATAAGTATAGGTTAAATAAACAGTAAAAGTATTATAAATCACAGAATAAATATTATGTAATAAATAGACAGGATAGACGGACTATCTAGACTATCCGCGAATAGATAGGATAAACAGGCTATCTAGGCTATCCAACGAGGACAAAGGTTTACATAGGAAATGGGTTTCATTACAATATAGAGCTTCGTGTTCAAGACAATTATTAGTTTCATACTATAATTACAAGAATTGCAACCAATTACAACACCATTGAATTCCTACTTGAAGTTTAGTCTAAACCACCTCGAGAGTGTTACGGGAGCTGCCTCTAGGGTCACGTGGAAGTGTCTAGAGATCTCTCGAGGTGGTTTAGACTAGACTTCAAGTAGGAATTCAATAAGGTTGTAACTGGTTGCAATTCTCGTAACTATAGTAATGAAACTAATGATTGTTCTTGAGCACGAAGCTCTACATTGTAATGAAACCCATTCTTTTATATAGACCTTCGTTCTTTGTTGTCCCATTGATCCCATCGTGTCCCACCAGGTGGGAGCAGTGGGATCCAGTGGGAATCTCTAATCCCGTGACTTTCTGATCAGGTGACTCGGTATGTTGGATGTCGTCGTAACAGAGAGATCTCTAGACACTTCCACGTGACCCTAGAGGCAGCTCCCGTAACAAAGCGATCGCAGTTGTAATTAAGGCTGATCCGTGACAGTTTTAGCTTTTAGAAATCTTAAGTAATATAATAATAATATAAATCATAATATTATATTAACTTCATCATTCTTATAGTAATATCAACATAAACTTTTATTAGAATAATTAATTTAATTAACTTTTATTCGTAAAATTCGTATTAAATAATATTATATTGAAAATCATTAATATTTTCTTATTCTTTATTAACTATAATTTTTATTTACATCTCGATATCAAACTATTTATATTTATCTTATTTAATTTTATCTTAATTAAATTAAAAGTATTAATAATTCAATTGATTTAGAAATATAAAGATTATATTAATAAAACTTATATTAATACTTCTTTTTATATAAAAAATAATAAAGTATAGATAAGTATAAAGAATATAAAAACTAATTATCTAATAAAAAAGAATAATAATAAATTAAATAGTTTTTGTAAAATTTTCAAGCTTTATAAATATGCTTATTTGTTCTAACTCTTAATTAATTTTAAGATCTTCTTAATATTTTATAACTTATTATTCCAACTACTTTATTATTTATTAGAATTATTAGACTAAAATATTATTAATATTACTAAATCGTATAGAAATCAAAACTAAATTTTTAAAAAGAATAACAAAATATATAAAAAAAACTAAATAATAAAAGTTCAAAGAAATTCTCGATTATTATAATTAAAACAGATTTCATTATCAAAATTAAATAAAAACATTATTTAGTATTTTAATAATTTGTTAAAAATCTTTGTAATGAGGAAAATATAATTATTATCTTTAACAAATTCAAATAAATTAGATTCATTTATCTAAATTGATTTCGAAAGATCTATTACTTTTAATTCTATTAAGCTTTTATTACTACTTATATCAAGTATATCCTTAAAACAAGACTAAAACAAATCTAAAAAGCTTTATTAGTTAATTATTAATCCTAGGAAGATTTATTTTAATTTAATATTAGAAATTAGAATATTTTAAATATTATTTAATTATTCAGATTAATTTATATTATAATCATAGATTTATTGTCTTAAGTAAAGAATATTATTATAACACTAACTATATAATCTATAGTTACCTTTATACCTTAAATATAAACTATTAGTATACTCTACTTTCTATAAGTACAGCCTCACCCTTTTAATAATTCTTTCATTCTTATAGTATAATATAAGCCTTTACCTATACCTTGACATTAATATTATGAATTTTCGTAATAATAGTTATATTAGGTTTCTCTTCGGCTTTAATTTAAATTATTACTTATTTTATACGACTTTTTGTAGTCAATATGAGATTTATTATAAGTTTCGTAATTGATATTTTTTAAGACTAAAAAAATTATATAAGATGTAGAGTTGTATAAGATGTAGGGATATTAATTATAATCAAATAGAAAAAAAACCAAGTAACCTACCTCTTATACTTTAAATTTTAAATTGTTAAGGACGTGTTCCTGACGATGGCCTAACCACTTCTCAATCCTATCATATACAAAAACATTCTTTCTGTTGAAACACGTGAAAAACACGTGATGCCATATCCCGTTCCACGCCATCTACGTACGAAGTGCGTAAGTGTGATGGTGACACATATGAAGTCTGTTCAACACTTTCGAAGAATACGTTTTTTGGATTCTGTATTACTGTTACATTTACATGTCAGAGGATATCGATAGAGGTCAGATAAACTAGAACGAGATCCTAGAAGGATATCTCTATCAGGAAGGAGATCCTAAAGAGATATTAATAATGTCAATGAAAATATTATTCATTCGATGGATACATGGTACATGATACGAACATGTGTAGAGACTTTTTAAGCGAAAACTATCAAAATGAATCAATTTTATACAATATATTAAGAAATCCCTACTCTCCTGTTAAGATTAACCACCACTAATGCTGAGCACTAAAAATTTCCTTGGAACGATTGTGAGATTTCGATCACCCTAGTTAGAAACCCATGACTTTTTCTCCCCTGGCGTCTTCTACATCTCCGAAGCCAGGCAATCCGGCTTCATAGAGGCCAAAAAGTCGCCACCAGACGTTCGATAATAACACATACACGTGTGACTGCATTCGTAGTGTCGCATTATAAGCCCACATTACTTACTGTGGGTATACTGAAGATGCCGAGGCTCGAAGTCTATATAACCTGTCGATGCCCTGTTACGACTTGCGGTGGGCGCTGGCGACCTTCTCCTCCGCATCGCAATCATAACCCCTTGGTCTGTCAGTATGATTTGTTTATCACTTTTGACGGCAGTTTTTGTCTCTTATGAGAGTGTAATCAGTGCCTCACCGCTGAGATCAAGTTGTCGCTGCTTTCCAGGCGATTCTTGCTACCCTGATGCTAATGTATGGGACGCCTTGAATGCTACGGTTGGAGGGAAGCTTATTGCCTCAGTACCTATCGCTGCAGTCTGTCACTTTGATCAGTTTGTGGCCTACGACGAACAAGCATGTGCCACCTTAAGGGATAACTGGTTCTATCCTGAAACACATCTATCTTCCTCGTCCTCTGCTATGGCCTGGATGTTCACAAACAACACCTGCAATCCGTTTCTTCCTTCTACAACTTCATGCACTTTAGGCAACTATGTTAGTTACGCTATTAATGCCACAACAACCAATGATGTGAAAGAAGCAGTCAATTTTGCCAATTCGCATAATATCCGTCTGGTTATTCGCAGCACTGGCCATGATTATAATGGTAAATCGACAGGAGCCGGTGCACTCTCGATCTGGACACATTATATGAAATCTATAACTCTTACTGAATCTTATAACTCTCAAGCTTACACCGGAAAAGCCGCAGTTCTTGGAGCAGGTGTTTCATCTTTTGAAGCTTACAGATTTGCTGACGCAAACAACGGCTTGATTGTGGGAGGGAATTGTCCCACTGTGTCCTTGGCTGGTGGATATAGTCAAGGAGGAGGGCATGGCCCATTTTCGACTAAATTTGGTCTTGCAGTTGACCAGGTTTTGGAATGGCAAGTGGTGACAGGTGAAGGAGAGCTAGTGACCGCGACTCCCACGAGAAATTCTGATCTTTATTGGGCACTCTCCGGGGGAGGTGGAGGGGCCTACAGCGTTGTGTTATCGGCAACGGTCAAGTTTCATCCACCAATAACCACACTTTCTTCAGCAACTTTGCAGTTTGCTCCTCCAGCCACAGGAAACGCCACAGCATACTGGAATACAGTCAAGGTATTCCTAGAAACCCTGCCGAGTTTGGTAGATGGTGGCTTGCAGCTTGGATGGACTCTTACCCCCGAAGTTTTCTTGATCTCCCCAGTCACGGGTTTTGACGTCCAGCAAGCCAAAATTGACGAACTTTTTGCCCCAACGATATCTTCCCTAAAAGCAGCCAATATTTCGTATGCTTATACATCTTCGGTATCCACCAGCTTTCTCTCATATTACGAATCCGGTGGCTTTGGCGCCAACGTCTCAAATACAAACCTTGCTGGACGCTTACTCCCTCGTTCAATCGTTCAAAATAGCATCGATAGCTTCATCTCCATCCTCCAAACAATCGTCAACAACAAGCTAATCTTTGCCGGCGTTACCTTGGATGTAAAGAAACCTGTAGTTGCCAATGCGCCAGCCATCTCCGTAAATCCCTACTGGAGACAAACCCTTATCACCGGCGTCTTCGGCGCCTACCTTGATTATACCGACTTCGAGCAGGGCTTTCAAACCCAAAATTTCATGACCAATACCATCATGCCTGCCCTAGCCGCCTTGACGCCGAACGGCGCCGCATATCTCAACGAAGCCGATTTTCAAGAGCCGGACTGGCAGAATCTGTTCTATGGTGAGAATTTTGATCGCCTGAGTGATATAAAATTGAAGTATGATCCCCAGCAAATATTTTACGCGCTGGGGGCAGTGGGGAGCGAGAAGTGGACGGAAAGACCGGATGGACGGCTTTGCAGGGTTTAGGATTGATGAGGAGGGGCTGGGCTCCATGTGGGGGAAAAAAGATGCCGGGTTTAACCAACTGTAAATTCGAACTAATTTTTTTTGGACTAAACCAGTATAAGTTAATCAAAAGATAAAAATCAATATATTCTCTTCCGTTTTAACGTTATTGGGTTTTTTGTGATTGACTTATAATTCGATTAACTGAAAGATTTTGGTGAAGATTTGAATGGTCAACTGTGGCCTGTTATTTCTCCTACGTAGAGCTGGGATAATGTGATATCTATTGTGGATCAGAGATAAAGACAATTCTCGGGGGGCGGAACGTGTCACCTAAGATCAACCTGGGGATGCACGTGTAGAAAAATTTGGCTTGAGAAAGACACCGATTAGGAAGACATTAGCTAGCCGGCCTCTAGGGAAGGTATTGATCGTAGAGTGATGGATAATTTACGTATTTGGCAATTGTGGAAAATGTACTTTGTATTCACTACACCTGTTAACCGTTTTGACTCCGTACTATGTTGGCCTTCTGCGGTCAGCGTCGCACAAGGTCTACATTTGGCAATTTACGATTGCGAGGTCAGTATTGAGGGGGCACGGATCCTTGTCCACGCTTTGCATCCATTGCACCCATACTTGTTGGGATGTGTGGTTGCGGCGTGGAAAGTAAGGGCTCCATGGGATGCCACTGCATCTTCGAGGTAGGATCACTAAAAGCTCGTATCGCAAATATTGCAATTGCGAAGGGTACGTAGCTACATAAATCGAAATTGGCGAATTACTTCCTCATACAATCTTAGCGTGTGATGACCAAACCGGTCTCGTACTATTGTTTGACTTATCGTAACAGTTTGACAGGAACAGAAGTTATCTTCTGCACCTCGTGCATGGCGGATGCAGTAATCTTGCCTCGGTCATTTCCGCAAATCCGAGCCTTTCACGCCTTGCATGAGCGTACGAGAACAGTTGCGCTCGATTCCGCTATCACCGAGTGGTCTCATGTCCGTAGAAGATGGCACTTAGTAATGGTTTTTGTCACCCATGTGCAGTGAGCAGCGTGCATATGTGATTTAGTGGCACACAATGCATGGGGTCAGAACTGTCCATATTGAAACGCCTACCAGCTTCCCCGGCAAACCTGTAGACTTGAACTCGAGATCCTCTATTCGGACTAGGTTTGGCAGGGGCTTAAATATAACCTCACTCCATCAATGTAATCAGTCAGATCCATCCCAAACATTCACTACTATTCCATTGAAGGGTTGCGATCCTAACACATCAGAAACCGTAAACGCCTCGCGATCCATCAGCGCACAATGTCACAACTTACTAGAGATATCCCAAGCCTTCAGCTTAAAGATGGCTCCGCAATACCCTTGGTAAGGCCTCTTCGCCGTCTTCCGCGCAAGAGTCAGAGCTCAAGCTAACAGGCCAAAGCTTGCCTACGGCACTGGTTCCGTTCTAGGCAAAGCAGCAGATGACGGCACCCTTGACGTAAAAACCGTTGAACACATCCAAAAAGCCCTCAAGCTTGGCTACACGCACATTGACTGTGCTGAAGCCTACAACAACGAGCGCGAGGTCGGCGCCGCGATCCAGCAGAGCCAAATAGCCCGCGAGAAGCTTTTCGTGACCACGAAGACACTAGGTTTCCAGCCCATTGCTCAGGCGCTAGATGCCAGTCTGCAGAAGTTGCAGCTCAGTTACGTAGACCTGTAGATCATCTCCATCCTCGTCAAAGTTGGGTCAATTTTAATGCTTTTATTATAGCTACCTTCTCCACATCCCTTGGCTCGAGCCCACGCGCTCTCTCCGCCACGTATGGGCCGAGATGGAAGCCGTAAAAGCTTCTGGAAAAGCAAAAGCCATCGGCGTCTCCAACTTCGCAATCTCACACTTGGAGACTATCAAAGCCGGCGCAAGTGAGATCCCGGCGGTGAACCAAGTCGAGTATAACATTTATCTCCAACAATCGGAGCTATCCGCGTACTGCCAGAGATACGGTATAACGATAGAAGCGTATGGGCCACTAGCACCGTGCATCACAGAGGGCCCAGCTAAGGTGACGGTGGGGGAGCTTGCGCGGAAGTATGGGGTGGGAGAGGCGGAAATTTGCTTGAGGTGGTGTGTGCAGAAGGGGGTGGTGGTTGTGACGACGAGTTTGAAGGAGGAGAGGGTGAAAGGTTATCTAACGGCCCTTGAGTTTAGCCTTGAGGATGAGGAAATTGAACAGCTGTCGAGTGTTGGGGCGAGTCATCATTTCAGGAAGTATTTTGCTGAGAATTTCGCTGGGGAGGATAAAGCATAAATAGTGTGAGAAATGGCATTTTAGCATCTTAAGTTTCGACCTGCTGCTCTTTCATTATGATCAAACGTTGAACCATTCAGTGTGGATTGCTCGCATCGATGAACTGTTGTTATTGTTTAGTCTTTCGTTTGACTTCTGAACAGTACTAATATTCGTGGCGAATTCATAGAAATCCTTAGTTGAACATTTTTCCTAGTTTTTCTTTTTCGAAGTTATCTTTAAGACCTGACATATTTAATAGATTTTCTTGATACTGCTTTTTAACTCTGTGAAGTGCAGTAATATACTTGACTAGTATTTTTGAATTACCATGGAAATATTTGGATAATGGAGCAGCATTGATCTTCAGGGTGATAGCGATCGAACAAAATTGAATTTTCTCATGTTTCGGTATGGATTATCTATATAGAGAACTACATGTAAAAGCATATCTCGGACTGTGGCCTTCTTAACCTCATCGCTCAGTTTCGTGGCTCAAACACACACCAAATATCTCCCGGCTGCATTGTCACTTGATCCAGCATATCTGTCCAAAATTTCTCCGGGTCGTGACCCGGTGCGAACTTGATCTTGAATGTCTTGACGAAAAGTGCTGTGACATAACGCAATTCCACATTAGCGAGTGCTTTTCCAGGGCAGATATGCTGACCTTGATGTCACAATTAGCATTCGAGAAAAAACAAATCAGGGACAGTGGGCTATACATACCAGCACCCCATGGGGCATATGCGCGCTTGTCTTTGATAAGATCTGGTCGGCTTGTCCAACGTTCCGCGATGAATTCGGTTGGATCTTGAAATGCAGAAGATACTACCAAAAATTAATTATTATGGGAAAGCCAAATTCTGGCAGTGGATTGAGCTTACAGCGATGCGAATTGTAGTATGGTGCAGTAACTTGGGCACCTGGTGGAATGAAGGTATTGTCAATCCACAAGCCTTGTGGACCTATGATTCGAGCAAGACCAGTCATCGAGGGGGGCGCTACACGCAAAGCCTCTTTTATAAAAGCATTCAAGAATGGCTTGCCTGCGAGTACTGTCGAATCTTTTTCATCAACATTCTTTAATTCCTCATAAATTTTGTCCGCATATGCCGGGTATTTGCACAGGAAATAGAATATCCCAATCATGGCAGCGCGTGCGGTATCACTACCAGCAACCAGTGCAGAGATAGTGTTTCCGAGGAGTGCATTCTGACGTTTCTCAAGACTAATTATCCCAGTCGAATCGTGGTAATCTTTGAGGAAAAAGCTTGAAACATCGACTTCATTGTCTTTTTTCTATGGCAAAAGCTTGTGAGAAATACACAGATTGATGGGAAATTTTAGGCTATCTTACATTCATTCGTTTCAGCATACGTGAGCGGCAGGACTCTACAAGACCTAGCCAGCTTTGAACCGGTTTCAAGAATCGAAGAAAGTTGAAGGCAAAAAGGGCTGGCCAGACGCTGTCTCCACACGGTGCTAGTACAACGAGTGCCCCTTTGAGTTTAAGTAACGTGCTGAGTTGCTCTTCTGCATCGGCTTTGCTAGAGACTTCACCAAAGACGATCACACTCATGAAGTCAAAGATAAGTCCTGTCATAAGGTCATTGATACTGACGGGTTCGCCTTGGGCATTGGAAACGAAATTCAGAACTTCCGAAGCGGGGGCCACTATATTTGCCGCATAAGTTCTAAGACCTGGAAGATGTTAGAACGGATTATTCAAGTCTGATAAGATAGTGTTTTCAATCCTACTTGCGGGTGAAACAGCTCGATCCCAAGGACGACGACGAACGGCGTTCTCTACAGGCTTACGGTTGAACACAACCGATGTTTTGGGATGAATCAGATCATACCAAACACCCTTTCCGTGGTACTGATCTGTTCCGTTTTTTCCACCTTTCACGAGTTCGACGCCTTCAGGATGGAAAACCGTGAGCTCATTCGGAGCTGATTTTTTTTTGGAATGGAGATTAGCATTCTGTATACCAAAGTTTAGAGAATAGATATATCATACCAGTTCTGACTATTGGTCCATATTGCTCAAATAACCGTTGCATCAAGAGGTGGTTCCTGGAATCCCTCGTTTTCCATATACTCCAAAGTTTGGTAGCTGCTGCAAGACGAGGCCCCGGGAAGCTTCGCAATCGATGGAAGACGACGCGGTATATGATGATACTGGTGAATAAAAACAAAAGATAACATGCAGATAAGACAGTCGATACCTGGAGCGAGTCTATGATACTGAATTCCTGATATCTAAGTTTGAGTAAAAGTAACGCATAGCCAGCACAATGAGCGAAGATGACATGAGGAATGTGCAAGTGCCAGTCTCCGTGTATGAAGGCACACAAGTGGGCTGCGATACCACTAACAGCAGCAGCTATAAAATAGAGCCAAGGTATTGAGGCCATGGTGCTTTGAAATCCTCAAGTTGGAGTGCTTGTCATAACAGAACAGACTGTAGAGCGTGGAAAGGTACACCTGCTCTACTATGGAGGGTGTAAAAGCGAATTATTTGAGTGCCACAAGTGTGGGGGAAAGTTTGGACAGTTAATCACAATTGAATCGACTTTTCGAGAGTGGACATTAGTGAGATTACTGTTTATCGGGGTTTCATTTTTTTCAAGGATAATTTTCCATCTGCAAGACTGTTGAAGTCGGCATTTCCGATAGCTTTGACTGTGCCTTTTCACAGGACAGCGGGGAGACCAATGGGCCGATTTATTTCTTCATTCATATCAATCTTCTGAACGACTAGAGGTGGACCGGCCTTATAAGAATGTAACTTTAGATCCAAACCAGGCGTTTAAGCTCCGCTCCATGTAGAACGAATTATAGTCACCGTAAGCGTCTATATCAGGAAACTAATGCACTCCTGTAGATGACCGTTGCGAAGAATGGTGCTTATCGTACATGAAAACTCTGCCTCACTTAAACTTGATGCATGTGTACCATATGCTCCATAGACTAGCACAAAGGACCCAATAATGACAATTGGGAAGCCTTACTTCCCCTTCAATATAAAAAGGAAATGTTACCTACCACCGATGCGACATCTATCAAAAGAACTGTTTCCCAAAACATCAGCCATGAGATCCACAGATCATCCCACGCCCCATCCAACAATTCAGAGCACATCTTGGGCAATGAATTTTGTGCGTCCTTTTCTGCATCGTTTAACATTGTTATACAAGATCGCCAAATGTTTCTGGTTATTCACAGAGAGTGATTTTGCCACTTTCGTGATTCCAAACACCACTTTCGGAGTCTGCTCTGCAATTGCGGGCTATCCTTTGGTATCGACATCTACAACAAGTGGGGTCTTAAAAAGACTTCCTGCAGTCATCTTTTTCAATTGGTCAAATCTGCTTGTTTTCGACTTGGCTAATCAGCGCCTATGGGAAGCCGTTGAAGAAGACAGGCTCAATAAGCCATGGAGGCCTGTTCCTAGCGGCAAAATAAGTCGCTCTGAAGTCAGGCAGGCTATGCAAATGATTATCCCACTCGTACTCGCATTAAACCATTATTTTCTGAATGTTGGGGCCGAAACGGCATGCATATTGACTCTCACCTGGGTATACAACGACTTGAAAGCGAGCGATGACGGATGGATCCAACGGAACTTTATCATCGCTCTATCGTTTGGTGTGTACAATTGGAGTTCGCTGAAGGTTGCAATTGGGGGTGGGGGGCTTTCATCAACAGCGGAGATTACTGAAGTCGGTCTCCATTGGATTACTTTGATGAGTGGTGTCATCCTTACCACCATGCACATACAAGATCTAAAAGATACCGTCGGAGATAAGGAGCGTGGTCGCCATACATCACCGCTGGTTCTTGGGCAAAGGCTTGCTCGGTGGACGCTAGTCATACCTATCACCTGCTGGGGACCCATCTGTATGCATTACTGGAAGCTTTCATGGATTATGACCGTTCCGGCAACAGCGCTAGGAGTTTATGTGGCATGGAGATGTATTTCGTACCGGGGGAACACTGAAGATCGAAAGACATGGCAATTATGGTGTGGGTGGACGGCATTGCTGTCGCTCATGCCACTCCAAATTTGAACTTCACTATGAGCGACTTTGCTGGAAAGAGCTTTGGAGGATTCGTAAAAGCCAAATGGTAATTAAATGTGAAGTGTTATCAATTACATTATCTCTTTAGTACGAGAGCTGGAGGCAGTAGCTTTTTCGGACTCCGCATCAATGGATTCTCTCATAGTTCGCTGTGCGGCATTGGGGCATGCACAGAAAATCACTCGTTGAGCTTTTACGTGTACTTGCCTACCCCCTATCTGCACGAATTAGCTATCCAACATATGAGTGGGATTTAGGAACAGAAAAGTTGGTCCTTTTGTATCTCGACTCAAATTGCTCAGAAAATTAGCCATGCGTTATTCTTTTCCATGTGAACTAGATATATTTGTACTCTCACCTAATACTCATGCCATTTTGCCTTTCCATGGTTTCACCATTGAATTTGTGATATATAATGATTGGTATGATTGGTTGAATCTGAATTAGCGGATGGATGGAATAGTTGAAGTAGATTGATGTTACTAATACCCGGATTTCTATTGCCAAATAGTGTGTCCTCGGAATTGCCTTGTTGGGACGACCGGTCAATTGGGTGAGTAAAACGGGCACAGTTGGGATGCGCCACTTGACATGTGAGTGTATAAGCAAAAGCTTCGTTTAGGACAGCAAGCTAATTGTCAAACTTGATTTAGATTGTTCTGACCCTATTCTCAGATATGCGATGTCCAAAAAGACGGAAATTTTACTCTTTTCGATAATACTAGACTGGTGCTGTAAATGTTCCTCGTCAGATGGATGGAATAGCTTCGTGTGACTGTTGAAAAGTCTAGTAGGGAGATCTGAACCAGTCGATTGGCGCATTAAGCGTAGTAGGAGCTGCATGAACCGACACTTGATTCACAGTGACAAGATAATTGGGACTTCACATAAATCAATGCTAGGAGGTCATAAGCAGCTTATGGCCATTGCTTGCGACAAATACGGGATGGCCCGTGCGTGATCGGCTGCTAGTGCTGATATGTAGGATAAGCGGAGCATTCATCATTCTAGGTCTTAGTCATTTCATCAGCTTTGTGGGACCCTGCATTTTGAATCCTCTGCGTATTATTGGCATGTAGTTTAAGGGCATGGTATGTAAGCCTCAATACATTCCGGACATTCCACCTTATTCGCGTGTGAAAGCATTACCCAGGAACCACTAATTTCACCGTCCAGGTACTTGCGGCCTCGTACACATTTGTGTGTAAGCAAAGGTGGCATGCCTGATAGGGTACAAGTTGCGAGTTTATCAGAGGTTTGACAAGGTTGCCATAGAGTCGGCTGGCAAATACATTTCCGGGAGCCAATAAGTGGTGGGGCCGACAGTGCGTATATGCTGGATAAAGTAGTAGAATCCATTGAAAGGGATTTAAATGGGATTTCTGTTCTGAATCCCTAATTGACGAAATGCATCATTTCTATTGCTTTAGTCAAGGCTTTAAACACGGATATAGCATCGGTGTTGTGGGTATGCATGCACGTGGTATGGTACTATCGTTCAATGGAACTGATTTGCAATTCATGGATCAGTGTTAAAGTGGGAGGATGGGGGACCGGTGCGCCGGAGAATAAATAATCAATAATGGATGACGGGCGCTTACCGCTGACAGCTCATCTGTGCTCCGCAAATCTTAAGATGGTGATATGGGGGCACTTATCAAGCTCGGGTAGTGCCTCGAAGAAGAAGGTGGGAGCGACAAGAATTGAGTACGGGGCCACAAAGGAGTGTTTGTTAGGGTCTCTGCTTTAATGCTACAGTACCTTGGACTGCAACAAGGAGTATTGAGCATCAAATGTTGTTTAATATGATACCATGCTACCTACTGCTTGACAGGGCTTTGCCACCCGAACACCCTAATTTTCCTGAAGAATGTCGACCCGTCGGAACGCGACATTTTGAAGATATAGTAAAACATCTTTACAAGAATACCGGTTTTTATAGTATTTTTAAGGATATATAGAGGTATTCTTATATAAAAATATTCGATTAATACTAATATAATAATTATTTAGTTCTAAATCCGATCGAATCATTTTTATAATACTTTTTTCATTTCAATCAAATTTGATTAAAATCCTAAAATGTTCTATTAAAATTCCTATATATTTGTTATATAATGATGAAATTCTAGTAATATTACTAGTTTATTAAAAATATATATAATACTAATAGCATAGCTATATAGATCGAATCGATTATGAATTTACTACTACTACTATATAATACTGAAACTAACGAAATCTAAGAATATTCTAATTAAAAGATTTTAAGAATATAGATTATCTTTAAGTATAAAAATTTTAGGACTAGAAAATATTAAGAATAATAGAGATTATCCTTATAGAGAGAATTCTTATAGAGATGTTTTACTATAGTTTAAAGGCTAAAATCATTGCCTGCTCAAACTTAAACAAATAAGGGTTCATGTACTAGTTAATACTTTTCATGTCTTCAGCAGCAGAATGCTAAGTTGCAACCAAGAACAACGAAAATGACACGTATGGACATAGATACTCAATTGTATTTCATCGGGTTGATACAATGGTTTGGGATTGCGATGCGTGTATCGAAGACCACCCTAACATGTGCCGAGGGTCGACTTCTTGCTCACTTAATCACACTTGGCTTGCATCGCACGTTTCCTCGATTCCAGACGGCTGATTGCAGTCTCAATTTGAGAACATCCATCTTTGCCACTTTACCCCGGAAGTCCCTGAAGATTCGTTCCTCCACAGAAAAGCATATAAAATTTTATACCAGGATCCTCTAGGCATCATAGAAACATAGGAAGTGCAGCGTCCGAAATGGGCCCACCGGTTTCGATGTAGTACGTATAGAGTATCATCGAACCGAACGTGTAGCTGTATACACGCTATCAATCACGGTCATGAACTATAGTTGCTGAATTTTAGCGCCGGACAGGCTGCGGCTTGACCCGAGCTTCCTGATACGGATCTCATAGCCTCTCATCATACATTTCTGCATAACAATAGTTGGAAAATGTTGCGCCTGAGCGCCTCTCGTCAATGTCAAACTAAATCGACCAATACACATCTCAACGCTTTCTAGGTACAACACTGTTTTTTAGTCCTGTAAATTGCAGACTAGAAGTCTCAAGCGCTCTCCGTAAGTAGTTGAGGACATGGTCATTTCTCCACCTTTTTGAACAGTTCATTGACATGATGCCCTTGTTACTTATTACTATCGAAAAATTACGTAATTATAGAATTTGTATGAATTGAGGACTTACTATTTTTTCGAAATTTTCACATCATTAGATTTTAATTAAATTAATTAAGCTTTTATTAAAAATGATTATTAATTAATTTTCATTATTATATCTCAATTTAATTTAAAATTCTAAGATCTATAATTATTACATTATATACCTCTACTCTAATTTCATATATATATTAAAGTTTCAATTCTCTTAAATCAAGGTTTAACTCTTTAGAATAATTTAGTTTCTATTTAAAATCTCTTTATAAAATTTATTCTAGTTTTGAGCTTGTATTCTCATATGCCTTAATAACTATTAGTACTCGCACAGCCGGAAAGTATACAACTGTTGCTATAATAGGAACAAAGCGCTATAGGAAAGACCTCTGGTATTTAAAGGGTATATAAATCATTGATATTTATACTACAAAAAGCACAGCTTTAATAAGCGAGTGATTTAATTTGTAGATTTTCACAAATCCTTATTCAGTAGAGGAAAATCGAAAGAAGTAACGGATTCTACTGATTTCTAGAGACCGATATAGTGCATTTAGGGCCGGTGTAGATACTTTCTCATCGCACCAGTAGCAAGTAATATGTTTGAAAATATACTAATTATCTCCTAAAACGAACTAATTATTATGTTAAATCTTCGATATACGCCACCATTTTACTAGTGAAAACACCGTATCATTCACCCACTCTCTTGAGAGTGAAATCATATCATACGTGAGATCTAGGATTTGAAATCTGTTGCAGCTTGAGATTCGTAGCTGATTCACTTCTAGGACGAAATGGTTGCATCAGATGTGATTTTTTTCCTAGCAGATGGAGCTTCGAGGCCCCTCTGTAAGCACCTTCAATGGCACGACGCCCCCATTCATTTTAAATCCTCCAATCCAAATTTGTCTTATTGCGCGTTCCTTATTGGAAATATGCAGCTAATGAACTACCTTATGTATGTACTATCCTGAGTGTTGGGATATGAAAAAGTAACAGACCTACGATACACATACACTGGAACTCGAAATTGCTATCCTTTCACCATGGGAAACACAAACTCGCATCCCAAGCACTTGGGTGCCTTAACGTCGCCAAAAGGTCTAGGGAATGTTGTTACTATCGTTATCTTCGCAATTCTCAGCATCGTCGCTGTCGGCTTGCGAATCTGGAGTAAAGTCGTCATTAGGCGTGCTTTCCGGGCTGATGACTATTGCATATTCGCTGCTCTAGTATGTATATTCTCTACCTTGATGCTAACAAAATATATTTACGAGCCATGACTGATCGTATACAACCGCAGCTTTTCTGGTTGGGGTTTGTCGTGTGTGAAATTATGGGTATAGTGCTCCATTTTGAACTGTCCAGGCGTCGTTTTCGTCAGCTAATCAAAGTTCAGCTGTCGTACCAGGAGCATTAGGCTTTCATGTTGAAGAAGCTATCAAATATTTGGGACCTGATTCACTTACTGTTACCTTGAAAGTAAGTATGCCGGCCGCAAAAAATGACCATATCAAGCTTATACTTTGAATACAGGCTTTCCTTGCTTCATCTCCAGTATGGATTATCTCCACCAGTTTGGTGAAAATCTCGATTTTATCTTTTTATACAACTATCTTTCCTGCCAAGACGTTTCATCTTATCGTCAACTCGATTATTGCTTTGAACGCTGTGTACTGCGTGGGCTACATCTTTGCATCTTTGTTCATATGCACACCATTTGCTTTCAATTGGGATAAAACCTTAACAAATGGAAAATGCGGCGACACGATTCAGCTGGAGATTAGCTCTGCATCAATCAATATGATCTTTGATCTTATAGTTGTCTTTCTTCCCATGCCGACTTTATGGAGACTCAAGATGGCTGTGAGTAAGAAGCTATTTGTTAGCTTCATCTTAGGTCTTGGATTATGGTATGTTCCACAAGACGTCCATCTAGCCTGCATTGCAGGTAGCACTCATTCCAAGTCATGATTTACTGACAACCATGAACAGCATTTGCGTCATGAATATAACTCGTGTTGTTCTCGAGACGCGTCAGGACAATATCGACTTTACATACGGGTTGGTGTATGCGGGTCTTTTCGCTGGCTTGGAAAATGGCATAGGCATCATCGTGGCATGCCTACCAACCTATGGACCTTTGATACGAGGGCGAACAAAAGGATTCAACAGTGCTGAGTCTGAAAGCTACATGCGCAATCGCAAAAACTCCTATTTTCAGAGAAAGACGAAAGAATCTTATACAACTAACATGGCCTCATTCGACGAAGAAGGCTTTGAAAGATTGCATGAAAATATGGACGGTGTTCCACTGAAGAGTCTGCAGAACGGAGGAGTAGGAGCCCAGCGTTCTGCATGGGTAGCCGTTGACTCCCGCAGTAATAAATCATCCCTGAACCTTGGTGAATCTGAAGGTATCGCGGTAAAGACCGAGCTTAAAATGACGAGCTCAGGAGGGCCATAAAATGGCGAAAGATATAATCACCAATTACTTTCTGTTTGCATGTATGTACTTTGATACGAACGCGGCACGTTAAAATTAGATAGAGTCACGAAAGGAGCTCATTAATTAATTTGGTTAGTCAACGAAACTTTCCACTTTGAAGATCGAGTCTGCATAATGAACATTTGATACCCATATAGACCTCGCGATCTTTGAACTTTGGGGATTAAGATATCATGATGCATACAAATCAATGTCACCCATGTTAGTTTTCACAAATCATAGCACAATTTGTTCATCTCATTCTGAGTGCACAAAAAGCGTTCTGACAAATTCAAAAAATCGACTGCAGGTGATCATCTTATCAGTCGGTTGAAATCAAGTGATTAGCCGAAAGTGAAAGTAATCATCACATGAATTGAAGGCAATAACATGTGCACAGTTTACTAAGCAGATAATCGACAAGCGAGCAAGCAAGAGTAGCGTGAGTGGCTAGGCCACAACTCATTATTACTTCCGTAGAAATACCTGCATCCGACCGGAAACCCTGCCCTCATACTCACCTAAATATGGGCCACCAATCATCTTGTATTTTCCCACCTTATGGGACGTGCCTGTGAGTGGAGTGTGGCATACTTTCTGGCAGCACAAGTAACTTATCCGGGTCGAAATAAAGTTACAGTAGGTACCTAGTTTCTAAGTTTTATCTTGGAGCGCTCATCTTTCCATTAGTGGATCCATCTTACCCACAGAGAACAATCCTTGCTGATAAACGCAGTCAGCTTATGCCAACGACATGAACTCCGCCCGGAAGTCATTCCAGATACTTAGGGATTAAATAAGCACGCAGATTACATATATCGTATTAACTAAATTAGGTGATAACGTCTTATGGCCTACAAATCTACCTTATCTCAAATTTAAATAAATTAACGTGCTTTATTAGTGCGTACATTATATTAGTATGTATACTACTTTAAAACTACATCAAAATCAAGCTTTTCTTAATATTTATATTTTAATAATTAATTATTATTTTTTTTTAAAAAAGAGAATATTTAATAATAATCAAAAATCAAATATTCAAAAATCTAGTTTTCATTTAAATATTCTTATTATATTTTTTAAAAAAAGTTAAAATTGTTATGATTTTTATAATAATTATTATAATTATTCGAATTTTCAATTTATTATTAGAAATTCAAAATATTTATATATTATAGATTCAATTTTCAGAAAATTTTATTTATAAGTAAAGAAAGTATATAATTATATATAAACGAATTTTATATATAAAAAGAGTAGTATACGTATTAATATAATATACGTACTAATTAGCTACGTTATAGTATCTTATAATTCAGATTAATCATTAGGATTTATACTTATATTAATAAATACTATAGACTTTATAACTATTTCTTAGACTCTATATAACTATAGAAGTATTTTCTTACAATTCTAAAAACTCGTTCGTTGGTTTAGAACATGATCTCTTAACTCAATATGACTAACAACGAAGTTTCTTACTCTGATCTAGACATTTTAATGATTATGATTACAGATAGAAGAGTATTGTTTCTATTCATAGTATTGTAACAGCTCACTCTTATCATTCACAGTGTCATTCCATGCATGTTAAATACTTCTACACCTGACAAGATCAGATTATCAATCAAAGAAAATCAAAGAGACAAGATTTCAGTATGTAATATTCTTTGCCACTTACTTACATACTCAGCTTACTCTTTTCACTATTCAAGACTAGCTTGCGGAGGACACTCAATCGGAAATTGCTATGGTCTGATAGTTGGAGGATGTTGGACGATTAGAAACCGCAAGCAGTAGAGGCTCTTGCACTAGAATGATAAGGGAGCTATCGGGGATCGGCTTATTTTTATCCAGCCTAGCACTTTTTCGGTGTTTGTAATATCAATCTTGCGACTGGAGCATGTTTCTTACTTAAATGTGCACTCACCATCCGCAGAGCACTGACTCTTGATTTCAATATTCCACCAAATCCTGATAGAACAATATTGAATCGACGACTAGCATCGATAATCTCGAGGTAAATGACAAATATCCCGGTATCATCCCACACTAATCACGCACAGAACAATCGAACATAATGGCTCCACTCACTCTCAGCGCTTTCCACTGGCGAAAGAAGGGACTCACTCCAGAGGAATTCAAGAACCACTATGAAACAGTCCACATCCCTATTCTCCAAGAAATAATTGGTGATAAGTTCCCAAAAACGCACACGAGACATTATGTGGTCCGAAACTCTGAAGGATCCACGTCTGATGATAAGTCCAACTCGAACTATAAAGCAAGTGTTTATGCTGGCACGAACGCCGAGGATTTCGACTACGATGTGTATAGCGAGCTCGTCTTCGAGGACGAGGCAAGTTTCAAGGCTTTTGAAGCTGTTATGTTTGATCCAGTTTTGGGCCCGAAGATCAATGAGGACAGCGTTAAATTCATAGATCATGTAAAAATGGTTTGGATCAACATTTCTGAGTCTACCACGGCTCGGACATCCAAATAGTGGTCTTTTGAGATTTTCGAGAAGCATTTTGCTGTTGATGGCTTGATGATCTCAAGATAAGCAGTCTAAGGGATAAAACTATTCAGTCGAATTGATGTCAGACTTATGCTGTCAAGTCCGCGATCATTTTTACCACAGCGTCCAGTCGTACAACTGTGAAATAGCCTCTTTAAGATTGAAATCCTTTTGCTATGTCATGTGTCTCAAAGCCAACAATCGCCGTATCGTGAACATCATGGTGTAAGCCTGGATGCAACTATTTATTACTGCTAGAGACAAGTACTTGAAGGCAGGCGAAGGATTCGACATTCAATCTTTGACTATAGTGGCTGTGAGGAGTTCGAAAATCACTATGCTATTAGTGTATGCCCTTGTTGTAGAACTAGCTGAGCAGTGGGTATCAAGCAAATCATCATCTCCGGTCTGGTAAGGGTACTGCTTCCACTGTAGGCTGGTTAAACTGAGGCAAAATAAAGGAGATTTATATTCGGAAGAAGGATCTCAGGTTCTGACTTATCGATTAACCCACGTTCTAGAAGGGGGTAGCATGCTAAAGTAGCTCAAGTTAGAACATGTTAGGAATTGTACCTGGCTAGTTTCTTTGTTGCCTCCCTGCGGTGTGGAGATGATAAGCAAGCAAGGATCGAGTTATTGCCACGAGCTTTACCCTTGTAAACCACACGAGCTGGCTTTAAAATAGAGCAGTTTTCTCTCACTTTTTGTTATTGTTCCCAAATTCGAGCTCATTCTTCACCCAGCTCCATCTTGGCAGATACCAAGCTATATTTCCTTGCAAAAGATCAACAATGATGCGATTTTGCAAGTCGTTTCTAGGCCTCGTGGCGTTTGCTTCAATAGCTTCAGCACAGTCTAGCAACCAGACCACGTGGACTAACGGAAGCATAGCATCGACCTGTCTTTGCTTTCCTGGTGATTCATGCTGGCCGTCTACTGCACAGTGGAATGCGTTGAATACAACACTTGAGGGAAAACTCATTGCAACTGTTCCGCTAGCCAGCCTTTGCCATATCGATGGCTTCGAGACATATGATGTTGATAAGTGTAATGCAGTCCGAAACAACTGGTGGTACCCAGTGACACATTACACTACATCATCTTCTATCATGGCACCCTTTTATGCAAATCGAAGCTGCGACCCTTTTTACCCAAAAGATTTTCCATGTGGATACGGCACCTATGTTCGATACGCCGTCAACGCAAGCTCGGCGTTCGATTATCAAGTGGCCCTTGATTTCGCCAGTCGTAACAACATCCGTTTAGTTATTCGTAATACTGCACATGACTACCACGGGAAATCAACTGGCGCTGGAGGCTTGGCAATCTGGACTCACAACATCAAAAGTATTGAAATCTCGGATTATAACAATGATTCGGTGGACTATTGTGGAAAAGCAATCAAGATCGGTGCTGGTGTTCAAGCTTCTGAGCTTCTTGAAGCTGCCCATAAAGAGGGTTATCTGGCGGCTATTGGTTACGCCGGATCCATCGGAATCGCTGGTGGTTATGCACAAGGAGGCGGAACCGGTCCGCTTGCCTCTGTAATAGGCCTAGGATCTGATCAGGTTTTAGAATGGGAAGTTGTCACTGCAGCGGGAAAGATTGTTACTGCCACAGAGACGAATGAATACTCGGACTTGTACTGGGCTTTGTCGGGAGGTGGAGGCGGAACTTATGGTGTTGTTCTTTCCGCGACATACAAACTGTACGAGGACATGGAGACAATTGGGGGTAACCTTACCTTCTACAATACAGGAACTTCTCAAGATAACTTTTACGGTGTAATCGGAACATTTTTGGAAGCTCTTGATGCATATACCACAGCCGGCGGTGGAGTTAATTGGCTCAACACTGGCGCATTCTTCAGCATGGCCCCTGCGATAGCTGCGGGAATGAACCAAACACAGTTCGACTCATTCTTTGCTCCAACACTCTTGAAATTGAAGGAGAATAATATGTCATACGGTAGGACGCATATCTTTTTATCCCTCTGCCCTTAATACAAACGCATACTGACCTCGGACTTTACAGTATATGCCTCCGAGGCATATGACACTTTTGCGGATGCCTATAACGGCCAAGCCGGACCTGAAAATATCACCAATTATAACATCGGAGGCCGGTTAGTTTCACGTGAAGTTGTCAAAAGCAACGCCACTGGGGTTCTGGATACTATAAAATGGATGAACGACCTTGGGGTGGTGGTAGCAGGTTTAGCACTTAACGTGGCGACCACAGATGAAACGCCAAAAAACTCTGTGAATCCTGTGTGGCGTGATACACTTTTGTCTATCACTACTGGACTGTAAGTTACCCCGATCGTTTCTTGCCATATTTTCATTCACTCACCATCATAACAGGGCTTGGGATGACACTGATTGGGACGCGAACTTGGCTAGTCAAGACCTAATCACAAACACAATTGTCCCAAGATTAGAAGCATTGACCCCTGGAGGAGGAACATATCTCAATGAAGGAGACCCACATCAACCCAACTTCCAGCAAAACTTTTATGGCCTCAGTTATGACCGTCTGCTATCGATCAAAAAGAAATACGACCCCAATCATATCTTTTACGGACACACGGCCGTTGGAAGCGAGTATTGGACAGAAGAAGCTGACGGAAGACTGTGCAAAAGCAAATAGAGCGTGGTAGTATGAATTTCATACGAATATTGGGCGAAGGTGGATGATTTGCCGTGAGTGGGATGGGAGGAAAGGGTCATGATTTTTCTGACCCTTCCCCCCGCTCTTATATATAATCAAGAGGTCTCCTCGACCATTGAACCTTAGTTTATAGTCTTAAATGTAATACGACTCGACTTTATTCAATTGAATTTTATTTGAAAAGCTAGCTATGTACGAAATAAGCAATCTTATAAACATTATAGTAGAATTTACCCCTCTTTACTAGACTATACATTAATTAAGTCTATTACTCGTTATTCATAATGAAAAAAAATTATTCAAAATGACTTTCAAAGGCTTTTTTCTAAAGCTCAGCTAAATGATTGATATCGATAGTACTCTTCCTCAAGATAATATGAATATTTTGATGTTTTTTATAGTATCAAAAACAAAATAAAAAATATATTTCTCTCTATTCTCTTATCTTTTATAATTTATATACTCTTATCTTTTATAATTTATATACTCTTTATCTGGATTTATTTATTTTTTATTCAAATATCAAATATATAAGTACTAATACTGTATAGATCTCTTACTTTTTTTTCTTCTATAGAATATTAAGAATATTAAATATAAGATGAAGATTAATCTATAATCGAAAATATATATATATATATATCATTTAATTCCTCTAAATTCAATAAATAAAATATTTTTATTATTATTTTTATAGAATTTCTACAAAACTTAAATATTAAATAAATTATAAATATAATATAAATTTATATCTCTAATAGAATTAATTACTCTTTTTAAATAGAATTATTTTTAATATTATTATTCTCAATTCGAATTGTTTCTAATATACTTATTTCTATACGAATGTTGATTATTAGAATTTAATAAGTTATTTTAATTTATAAACTACTATATTTATTTCATATTAATATTAGAAAGTTTTAATATAATAATTTTTTAAAAAACTCTTTAACTTTTCATTTTTAAAATATAAATAAAACAAAACTTATTCCTTAGACCTTTAGAAATGAGCTTTATTGTTTAATAGAAATCTTATCAGCCGATTAGATTATTAAAATTTTAAAAGTTTTTATAAGATTTAAATTATATTTTATAATAATTAACATGGTTTATTAATGAGTAGATCATATTAGTAAATGAGTTACTTTCATTTTAATTTACTTTTTTCTTTTTCAATATATATTTTATTAATAACTCATAATGAATTCGAATAATAAAGAAGCTTATATACTCCTCATTATTAAAACTATTTAAAGAAATAAAAAAACAAGTATTCGAAAGATTACGAAGATATGTAATATCTCGAATATAACATTATAATAAAAAATAAAAGGTTTTACCTTTTATTCTAAACATCAATCTAAATCTTATAATCTTTTAGAACTAGAAAAGAATATTATTATTGAATATATACTCGATATAGATTCGAAAGATTTTTTATTTAAATTCAAGAATATAAAAGATATGATAAATCATATTCTTGAATTAAGGAATATAAAGAATATTGAAAAGCTCTAGGTACATCAATTCATAAAGCATCGAATCAAATTAAAAATACATTTTAATTATATTTATAACTTTCAAAAAGCTTTCTACAAAGATCCTAAGTTTATTAAAGAGTGATTTCAATTAATTGTAAATATACAAGCGAAATACAACATTTTGAATGGAGATTTCTATAATTTCAATAAAACGGGTTTTATAATAAGGATTATATATACAGCAATAATTGTTACTAATACTAAAAGACATAATAAAAGCAAATTAGTATAATCAGACAATCGAGAATAAACTATAATAATAATATACGGAAATAAAAAGGATAAAATTATTCTCTTATTTTTAATAGTTCAAGGATAAGTTTATTTTTTTAATTAATATATTAAAACAAATCTTTTTATAAAATAAACTATTAAACCTATATTTAATAGATAAACAAACAATAAGATAGATTTAGAATAATTGAAATATTTTAACAAGTATATTAAGAATCAAAGAAAGAGCAAATATCGAATATTAATACTGAATGAATATGAAAACTATAAATTAATAACTTTTCAAGTATATTATAAAAAGAATAATATTATATATTTACATTTACTATTATATTCAAATCATTTAACTTTATTACTTAATATTAACTATTTTAATAATCTAAAACGTTCATATAATAATCAAATTAATGAATTTATTAAAACATATATTAATTATATTTCAAGATTGAATTCTTTATAGCTTTTAAAATTACATATAAGAAATCAATTACCTTTTAGAATATGAAATCAAGATTTCAAAAAACAGATTTAATATTATTTAATTTTGAAATTGTATTCTCGAAATTATATATTCGAATTTATATATCTACTCCTCTCTTTTTCGATCTAAATCAATAAATCTCTTAAACCTCTTATAACTCAATTAAAGCTCTTTCTTAATTAATATTAATTAAATCTTAAATAACTTGTTATTAATCAAGCTTCTTTATATTTATATTCAAAATTATACTAGCTTTAATTAAGAATATAAAAAGATTAGCTTATAAAAATATACTTTTGAATATAGAGATTTATATATTTCGAAAAGTAAATAAGATATTAAGTAAATATCAATATATAAAAAAAACTTAATTATATTAAGAAGAAGTATTTACTAAATAAAAAGCTTTTAATATATTATTTTAATAAAAAGTCGATATTTAGATTCAATAAAACAAGCATTGAAAAAAGGGAATTCTAATAGGAAAGTATTGTCTAATATGTTCACAATAAAGGAGCAGGCCAGTGGAATGCATGTATTATTGACTATGTAGATTAATTGTACTAAGGTAAAATCTAACTACGAAGTGGAAGTGATATATGCACAGTAGCTTAGAGCACGTGCCACAACTTCCAACACTCCCCCAGAGAGCTTACTCTCTCAGCTTCAGTAGTTAGTTTCTTTAAAATTCCTTTTATACGCCCAATAACTGATTGCTTCGAAATTCGTTATTCCTTGATCGTAGGGTTACTGTTTTAATATGGTAGACCATCAAAATCCGATCGTATGCGAACAGACCTTAAGCTTATCTGTTATTCCACGTGATTTTCTTGAAATCATTAATTTTTTTTTTTTTTTTTTGATAAATTCGACGTAAGATGAATCCAATGAATCTGATGAAATAGGTGAAATGGGTGGATTCAGTGATTTTGGTCGATTTGGTCAATTTGGTCGATTTAGTCGATTTTGGAGCACATACCACAACTTCCAATACTCTCCCAAAGAGCTTACTCTCTTTGAAACCCCAGCATGTTCTTGAATCTCTCAAATATCACCCTTGCGCATGGTTTTGTTAATCCATCTGCAGCCATATCACTTGTATTGACATAGCTGGTATTGACTAGATGTTTTTCTGTGAGATCTCCAATGAAGTGGTGACATATGTCAATATGCTTTGATCGCTCGTGTAGATGTGGGTTCTTGGTTAACGCTAGCGCTCCTTGGTTGTCTCCGAGCATTTGAACTCCGCTGTTGCTCCCGATATACTGTGGTCGCTCTAAGTCCCTCAAGAGTTGGGCTACCCATTGCCCTTGTTTGGTGAACATCGCCATGGAAATGTACTCAGCTTCTGTACTAGATGTAGCTACAGATGTCTGCTTCTTGCTTGCCCATGAGATTGGTCCACCATAGAACATTACTACCCCACCAGAGATGCTTTTTCGATCGGTTCTATCGCTTGCCCAGTCTGCGTCGGTGTATACTTTGATGGTGCGTTGTAGGAGGTCATATTCTTTGCAAATATCTGATTGAACTCCCCCAGGCCCAAAACGTAGTTTCTGTTTAATAGTTGACCTCAAATATCTCATAAGGTTTTTGAGTGCAACGCTGTGATGTTTGGCAGGGTTAGACATAGCTTGTGCTAATCTCCCGAGACCGAATGCGATGTCCGGTCTAGTGTAAACCATAGGGTGGATCGTACTGCCGATTGCTTGCTGGTATTCGTTTACATCAGTGAGCTCGTCGTCTGGGAGCGTTGGTCGTAGTTGGTTGTAATCCGAGATTGGTATCTTCCTTGGAGTGTGTTGACCATGGGAGATCCCGAATCGGGTAAGCATTGCATCCAGATACTCTTCTTGATCCATAGTTAACACTCTCTCTGATCTGTTACGAATGATGCGCACTCCTAAGATCTTACTAATCTCCCCCAGGTCTTTGGTGTTGAATCGAGCAGAAAGGTTGTGATAAAACCATTGAATATCTCGTTTTTGTGCAGCAGCAGTAACAATATCATCTACATACACTAGGAGAATTAGCTGGCGCGGGTGATTGGTGTATAAACACGGATCCGCAAGGCTTTGTACGAAACCCATCTTGGTTAACTCTCCTTTCAGAAGAAGGCTCCAATCTCTACCAGCTTGCTTTAGCCCATAAAGACTCCGAAGTGCATGTAGAACGCGGCCGCGACGAACATGAACACCTTGAGGGGGTGCTAAATAGATTTCTTCTTTCAAGTGTGATTCGGTGAACGCATTTTTGATATCGAAATGGGAACACTCGAGGTCCTCTCTTGCAACAATTGCAAGGAAAAGGCGAAGAGTATCGAGTCGAACAGTGGGGGCGAAGGTTTCGTTGTAATCTTTACCTAAAACTTGGCTGAACCCTCTAGCCACTAATCTGGCCTTGAATCGCTCTACCTTATTATCCTTCGTCTTAACAACAAATACCCATTTCGTTGAAACTAGATTGCTCCCTTGTGGTAAAATGAACTCTTCCCAAGTGCCATTCTTGACCAATGAGTCTACTTCTTCTTGAATTGCAGCTTGCCAGTCTTTCGCGTGCTTTTTGTCTGCCATTGCTTCTTTATATGTATTCGGTATCTTGATCCCGAGTATTTCCGTTGCTGGTAGAGCGGTCTCAGCTTCTGCTGGTGCATCTGCTAAAATAGTCAAGATCTTCGAAGCAATTTCATTATTCGTCTCCTGTTCGAATTGATGAATATTTGGAATGGCAATCATGGCGTGCTCAATTGATTCTGATCCTGGCTTATTTAAGGAAGCAAGTAAGGCCCGAATGATTTTGGAGTCTCTCTGTTCTTCTATATCGTCGTCATCGCTTCTCTTTCTCTTCCTAAGATTGTATCTCAAAGGTGGTGTGGAAGTAGATGCAGATGTAGATGCAGTAGGTGGTAAAGTTTCATTAGGTAGTGCAATATCAGGTAATACACTCTCAGGTAATGTACTCGAATTCGATGGTGTATG